GGCATAGCTCATAGCTTCTCTGAATTACTCAAGCCCCTTTGCTACAACAGGGCAGCAATCCGTGCAGGGGGCTTCAAGGTCTACCTTTCTGGAATTGTGGCTTATCAACCACCAACATATATGTTGGAAGCTGTCCAGAGTAGTTGATTGACTAAATGGGCAGGGTATAAATGCAAGCCGCCTAGAGTGGTCTAATATGATCAGATAGGCGGGATAGAAATAAAATAAATAAATAAATTAAATAAATAAATAAACCTCTCAGCAACTTAGTTTTTCAGATACCCTACTCTGAAACGTTTCCTCAAGGGGCTATCACACCTTTACTACATATGTCCACCTTCTACCACCTCAGTGGTCACTGACATTCATCCTTTGACAACTTACAAGGGCCTCATTTGAGCCCATGACGTCAACTGCCCTCAGGTTACTTACCTTCAAAGCCATATTTCTTGTGGCCATCACACCAGCTTGACGTACTAGTGAATTTTCAGCCTTAACGTCTGACTACCCTTATATGCAGTGTTACCCAGATAAGGTTAAACTTTTTGTAGATATTTCTTTTCTATCCAAGGTTGTCTCCAAGTTCCACCTATCCCAGCCTTTAGTTCTTCCTTCTTTTTTTTCTGTCTCCTTCTACTTGTTGGAAAAGTATCCTCCATATTCTGGATGTAAGATAGGCTCTGGCTTTTACTCAATTCTTCAGATGCTCAGCTAGACTTCTTGTCAGTTACCAACTTCCTGCCAAGGTTCTTCAAGTTACCTCACCCAGAATATCTAACTGGGTTGCATCTACAATCCAGATTGCTTATCAGCTTGCTCGAGTTCCAGTGCCACAGAATATCCACCCTCTTTCTAGGGTGTTGGCGACATCTATGGTGTTTCTTCAGAGCATTCCTGTACCAAACATCTGCGCCTCTGCCACATGGTCACAGCCATCCACGTTTATCAATCACTACAGATTGGACGATTGGCAGTAATCTGATGCTGCTTTTGGGCATGCTGTGTTATCATCTACCTTGGCGTGACACCCTCCTCCAGGTACGGTAGCTTTTTGGTCACCCATAGTGTGATTCACAGAGGCCATGAAGAAGAACAACAGGTTACTTACTTGTACAGTAATTGTAGTTCTTCGCGTGGACCTCTGTGATTGACATGTCCCGACCCGGCCTCCCCAATGTCACACTCTTTTCGCCAAGGTACATATATCAGGGGTCTATGCTAATGTATTTTCCTTTGCTACCGCAGAAGCTCAAGAATATTCCAACAAGGCTCTGTGCATGTGCGGATTACCCATAGGGTGAATCACAGAGGTCCACTCAAAGAACTACAATTACTGGTAGGTAACGTGTCATTTTTAATAAGGAGCCTAATGCATTGTGATAGTGCTACTTTGTGCTGATGCTCCCATCAACATTATTAAAAACTATGCTTCAGTTTTTACAGTGCCATGTTTGAAATGGAACATAAAAGTTAAAGTGCTGAACTTAGTTCAGTCCCACAAGATTTCTGAACTTCAGAATTGAGCTAATGCAGTTAATCACTTTTGCAGCTCCCATTTTGCAGCAGGCAGAATTATTATTCCTGTATAGCAAGACTTGAGAAAACAAAAAGGAGTATCTGATCATCTCCCTTCTTCTCATACCTTTCCCCCATCTGGTAATTGTGGTCATACCAGCTGTATTATCTCCTTTCTTATAAAGCATAGTTTATAAGAGGCTGCATCTATCAGAAGCAGAAATACCACACAGGATCTCTGCTGATAATCATTATTATAAAAAATAAGCTGAGTGAATATATGTAAATATTAAATATCCTTGTTTAAAATCTATTAAAATGGAATGTATGAGGATAAGGTATGGTAATGTTTCTTTGAAAAATATTTAGAGCATTTAAATTTGTAAAACCTTTGAAATAGAAAACGTATTGTCTATTTCTCATTGTTTGTCCTAAGTGCCTCAACATGGCAAAATGGAAACATCTTTTAAAACTAACTTGACCCTAAATCAAATTTTGCATCATGCAGGAAATGCTCTGATTTGTTAATTGGATTATCTTTTCTGTTTCAGATTTGGCGTTAAAAAGACACCTATATACATCAATGTCATTAGAGATCCTATAGAACGGCTGGTTTCTTATTATTACTTCCTGCGTTTTGGTGATGATTACAGGCCTGGACTCCGAAGACGAAAACAAGGCGATAAAAAAGTAAAAGTACATCTTGGGGGGCTCTGTTCATGATTTACGTACCTCTGCAGACTGTAGCTTAACTAAAAACATAAACAGAACTGTTCAAAAGCAAATTTGGTCCTGAATTGGATTGGACCATAAAGTGACCTAGTCACAAAGATGTTTTCTTTGAAAGTAGGAGTCTTTGTGAGTCATTCCTGCTCATGTGAAAAGCAGCCATCATCTCTGTGTGTCTTTATGCCCCCTTCCCATTTCTTTGGAGAATCCCAGAATCTTGTAGAGCAGATCTGAGAGGCATGTTTTGAAAGAATTTGTCAAAGATCACCTCCTCCACTCTTGCTCACCTCCCTTCTGTTAGTACTCATTCCATGAACTGAGGAACCTCTATTTATGGGAGGTGTATTCAATCTAGTATAATTGATATAAAGGTATTACTATGCATCAACATGTGGGCATGACAAGAATAGAATCATGATTCAGTGTTGAATAATTTTTGTCATATACTTTTTAGAGCATCATTAGCTAGTGTCTTGGAAATCTTACCGTATCAGTCACCATACTACTGAGCTTGCACCATCAGTTTTTTCTCCGTACAACAATGCAGATATTTCTAGATAAACAAGGTGAGAGCATATATCACCATTACCCAATGTCAAAATTTCATCAACAAAGCAGTAGAAGCATTTCTGACTTTAATATTTCAACAGCTCAGTTTGCAAAAGTGATAGAATTTTTTTTTATTTTGAATGATGCTTATAAATGTAGAATACCTGGTTCTATTCTTAGATCGTGAATAAAGTCTTGAGAGCCATGGTGATATAGTAGGTAAAGTGGGTTCAAATCCCCATTCACCCATGGAAACTCTTTGGGGGATGGCTGTAGTAAACTATACCTTGAGATCTCACATATCTTGAAAATGCTGTTAGGATTGCTCTAACTTGGAAGCAACTTGACAGAACATAACAATTACTACAATTTTTGTTGTATGAAACCATCATAAAATAGGTACATGACATGAAATGGGCTTATGTTGTTGCCAAACATAAAGACTTCCCCATAGCAAGTTCTACTACAACAAGGCTCTATTTTCCTGTGTACACTCACTCTAGTCCTATGTGTGTCTGCACGTGCACACATATAGATTCAAAATTATCATGCAGCCTACAAGCATACAAAGCAATTTCACTCAGTGATGTTCTGTTGTGCAGTTACAAAAATGGCATAACTTTCAGAAGTGAATTGCAGTAGGTTAAGAAATCTCTGTAGACATTACAGTGGTGCCCCACATAGTGAGGTTAATCCGTTCCGGATTAACCGTCACTATGGGGAAACATCGCTACATGGAACGGAAAATCACATTGGAACGCATTAAACTTTGTTTAATGCATTCCAATGGGGCCCAAAACTCACAGTTCTGCGAAAACATCTGCGATGTTTCCCCATCCGGCCGCCATTTTCGCACCCTTGGTAAGCGAGGGTAGGGCGTGAAAATGCTGCGCGTGGCCATTTTGGGTGTCCGGTGGCCATTTTGGAACCGCCGATCAGCTGCTTTTTAAAAATCGCTATGCGAAAATCGGTAAGCGAAATGCTTACCGATCGTCGCAGAGCGATTTTCAGCTATAGAAAGCATTGGTATGTGATCGCATTAGTGATCCCAAAAAACGGATCGCTATGCGAATTCGTCATTAAGCGGTGCGCTCGTTATGCGAGGCACCACTGTATCTGTTTCATAATGAGCTATGTGACTCGCTGTGTAGTAGATAATGCTTATGAAGATTTGTTAACTAGCAGCAATTGATGCCTAAAAGTTACACCATTTTATAACTGCACAATAGGATTTCAGCCACTCAATGTGAGACGACTTCTAGTATTTTCCCAAAAGAACTATATGCAAGTATCAGTTGCTGTCATAGAGATTCATAGAACATGTACCTATGTGCAGCTTTTCAGGACCAGCCTTCTCCTGTAAATGCATTTTCACACACACACACACACACCCTTTTTTAAAACTTCTTTTTTAAAGCCTCTTGATTGCAGTAGAGCAGTCCGTGGGTCTTTGCACCAATTTCAGTGCCATACTGGTTAGCACATGCAGGCACCTTCTGTATTTACCATCTGCATTATACTATGTGGTTCTGTATTGTTCTGGAACAGTACAGTATTGTAAATTATGCTGTTATTTCTCCACCATTTCCTGTACAAGGGAAGAATTAAACTCTGATCCAGGTGATGAGTCTTCCATAGTTAATACTGTCCTAAGATAATTAGACTACACCAGCTTCATAAGAATGGTTGGAGACCTTAAAGGTAGCTAAAGCTTTATTTTGAGTTGTTGTGCAGCTCCTGCTGGAGGTTGCCCCCAAAGTATTAGCCAGCAGGGTAATTTTTGTCAGTGAATCTTCATGGGTCAGGGTACTAGTGCCGAGGCAATCGTACGTACATTCTGAGTAATGGAAGATTCCCACTGAAATCAAATGTGGCTTGGCTTCTTGCATGCCACTACATTAGTTGCTTTTCTAGCACTAGCAGTTGTATACCAGATGCCACATTACATTGAATTCTGCATGTGCTGTTCACATAACCATCTCCTTTTATGTTGCCTGCAAATGGAAGCCAGTAAATGTTGACTCACTGGCATGGTTGGCGCATTTGTTTATTTCATTTATGCCTTGCTTTTCTCCCAGTGCAAGAGGCACATTGATGAAAATGGACCTCTTAATGTGAAGTTATGTCCTTGTAACCCAAGTACAAATGGCGACATATCCACATGGAGACCTTTTGACGTTTGATATGCAAGATGGAAATTTACAGCTTACTCTTGAGTTTTTGTCTTTGTTCCAGACATTTGATGAATGTGTAGCAGCTGGAGGTTCAGATTGTGCCCCTGAGAAACTCTGGCTTCAAATCCCATTCTTCTGTGGCCACAGCTCTGAATGCTGGTAGGAGTATAAAGTTTACTTAAGTTGCATATCAAGTATATTATTAAAGTGAATTTTAACAAATCAAAAAGAAGCCAAAATTTGGGGAAAGACATATCTGCACCTTAATTGACAAGTGTACCTTTGAACATATCAAACAAAATTGTTTTCTGTGCTCCAGAGGACTATCAACCATTTTCAGACTAAGCTGTGCATTTCTTTCCTCAACCTTTGTATTAATGACTGGGGCATATTGTTTAAAAGCTCATTTAAGTAGAAGTTATTTTTAAGTTGAAGAAATATTTGAACAGGCTAAAGCTACTTTCATTTTTAGTTAAAAAGTAAAGTTTATGGCAATTACAATATAAATATGGATGGATGCATGTGTCTATCACTATTGAACCATTTCCTTACAGGAAATTGAAGTTTAGAAGTTGATTTATCATATGTAAGTAGTTCAGGTCAAGTCTTATTACGGTTAACTTATCAGTAGGGGGGAAAAGAGGGAACCTAAGACAATGCTTAATTAATATAATTCTGCCCTAATACACTTTGTCTGAAGACCATTTCTTGCAAATTTTCTACACTGTATATCATTGTAGGAGATAAATGTATATATGATTATTTATTTCATCCAAGGCATGACAAATGCTTGCAAAAATATGAAGTGCCATATGAATATTTAACCTTTCCAGAAGATTGAATTTCCTCTTGCCCCCTCCCTGTTTCACCTCTCCTAAAGTAGGCATGCCAAAATACAAATGTTCTGTAGTCTGTTATGGAAGACTGGTGCAAAGTTGAAACCTGCCTTTCACTTTCTACTTTTACACCATGTCAAAAGTGATACTCCTGAAAAGTTTGGTATAACAGGAAAAGTTTCCATATTGAATATTGCAGAGCACACTTGAAAAAGGCAGTTGTGTTATCAAGAAGTTAGAAATCAGAGCCATAAATCTTTTGACATCTAACCTAGGCAATGAAGAGAGCAAAAAGTGGGGAGCAAGGAAAAAAGCAAAGGAAATTAAAAATGTGTGTGGCTGAAACTTTGTTTTCTTGCCTGTGCAAAGATAACAGCCCAGCCATTCTTTTAGCCTGGTGTGAGAATATCTAAATGAAGGAAACCAAAATTCTTGGCAGACATCAAAACCTTCCTGTAATTACTTTTTATCGTTTTAGGAATGTGGGAAGCAGATGGGCTTTGGAACAAGCCAAATACAACTTGATTAATGAATATTTCCTAGTGGGAGTTACTGAAGAGCTTGAAGACTTCATTATGTTGCTGGAGGCAGCTTTGCCCCGCTTCTTCAGAGGTGCTTCAGAACTCTATCGCACAGGTATTTAAGTATTTGTATTATAGTAGCTCATTGTCATTTTCTTTTTTTAAGTTTAGTTTATTCCTCTTGATTTTTGTTTTAATTATCTCATTAGATTTTGATAGGCAGCTTGTAGCCCAACAGATACTATCAGATAGGATATTCCTGTCCCAGTGGCTGTTTCCTTTTATTCTTGTGTGTGCTTGGCATCATGCACATCCATGCTTTATAGTCTAGTTAGTTTCTTCTCTGCTTGTAGTTGTGAAGGTGAATGAACCATGAACAGCTCTGCCATGTCCTTTTGGGGTTCAAATCAAATAAATTTATTGTCATTGTAAGTGTATACATAGTATACCCATACAACGAAATTCACACAAACACCCAGAGACCAGGCCCATACCCACACACGTAAAAAATCCCCAAACACTCCCCACCCACTAAAATCTAGACAGTTTTGTTGCATTGGGGCAAGAGCTCAGAAATATAATTTTAAAAACAGAAGCAAAGTGTGCTGCTTATATACCACTCCATAGTGCTTAAAGTACTCTCTGTGCAGTTCACAATTTAATTTTACAGACTACACATTGCACAAACACACACACACACTGCAAACTCAATTTACCAACCTTGGAAGGATGGAAAGCTGAGTGAACCTCAAATCGGCAATCCTGGGATTGAAATAGTGTTGTGAGCAGAGTTTTGGCTGCAATATAGCAGTTTAGCCACTGCACAATGAGTGGCGTCCTCCCAATCACCCCTACTGCATTGCGAGCAGAGTGTAGAAAGTTATTCTCTAAATGAGGGGTCTCAAGCTCAATTTACCTGCGGGCCGCTGGAGGCAGAGTCTGGGTGAGGCTGGGCCGCATCAGATTTTCCACAAGAAAAGCTTTGTTAAAGCTTTTTGTGTCTGAACAGGGACACTCTGTCCGCTGACAGGCCATCATTTATCCTCCCTCCTCCTCCTCCTCCTCCTGCCCCCAGCACCCTCTGGTGAGAGCCCTGTCCTGCAGCAGGACAAACGGGGTTGACCCAAGGAAGCGGCTCCGTCGCCTGCTCAGGATGACCCACAGCTGCCGATGCAGGAGACGTTTCCTTTACACCTTTTTGCTGTGGAAGGGGCGCCAGGGTGACCAGCCTCTCCAGCGGATCTGACCAGCTTGCTGAGGGAAAGTGTGCCAAAAGCCATTCGCCACAGTCAGCAGACAGAGCCTCCCTGTTCAGACATACTATATCTGGGCGAGCATTCAAAAGCCGAGGACAGAGGCAAGGCGGAAAGGAAAAGGCGGCTGTCTTTGGCGATGGCCCGGCTTGTGTGTTGCTCGCTGGGCCGTGAGCAGAAACAGGAAGGGAGGAAAGAGCACAGGTCCACCTCCTTGCAGGGAACTTGCTTTTGTAAGGGTTCCCACCGGCATGTTTTGAGCCAGAAGTAAAATTAGTGCAGCGAATAAGCAAGGACAACAACCCGGAGAGAGCAAGATTTCCCCTTGTGGTTTGCTCTTGCCTGGTGTTACCATTCTCCACATAAGAAGCATGCCCTCTTTGGAGAGAGCAAGGTTTCCCCTTGTGGTTTGCTCTTGCCTGGTGTTACCATTCTCCACATAAGAAGCATGCCCTCTTTAGACGCAGGTTGGGGACAATGGACAGATGCTACAGGAAGACAAGGCACCCAGGTTCTGTGGAGGGGGTGGCAGTAAACTGCCAGGGTTTAAATGCTCACAGATTCACACACACACACACCCCTAGCAGCTGCATGTGCCCCTTCTGCAAGGCTGGCCCCATCAGCAAAATAATCTGTACCCTGTACCCAAGGGCTAATGGGGCTTCCTGGGGCTTCTTGACTCCCACTCTGGCAAGATGCTGTGGTCTTGGCCAGTGTGGCTCAGGGAGACGGGGGGAGGGGAGCGCGTGCAAGAAGGCTGTTATCTCAGCAGCATCCCCACCTGCGGCACGTCTGGGCAGGGAGCAGAGGAGCACCAGGCGGGGGGAAGAAGCACAGAGGGGATGAGGTGACAGCAGCAGCCGCCTCACCAGGTGACCCACGAAGAGTGGGGGGGAGAGAGAGACCTAAAAGCAGAAGCCCCGGTGGCACCAAACCCCGGAGGGAGAATACTGCCGGGCAGGGAGAGGGCTCCCCTTCTGGACATGTGGGCACTTCTGCTCCTGCTCCTTAAATTTTCATATTAAGGGGGGGCCACAAACTATCCTCCCGTGGGCCGCAGTTGGCCCCCAGGCCGCAAGTTTGGGACCCCTGCTCTAAATGCTTCAACCCACATCATTAGTTAGTTACCATTGTAGTTATACTTTAGAAAATGCTTTACTTTCCCATTTCTCAAAAGTATCTAAAATTGGTTTTTGTTCTTTAAAATCTGGATACTACACACTGTTAGTCTATAGCAGTGGTTCTTAACCTTGGGTTACTCAGGTGTTTTTGAACTGCAACTCCCAAAAACCCCAGCCAGCACAGCTAGTAGTGAAGGCTTCTGGGACTTGCAGTCCAAAAACACCTGAGTAACCCAAGGTTAAGAACCACTGGTCTGTAAAACAAAATACACTCTCATGCTTTCCAGCTCATTATAATCTGTATGCCCACAATGGAGCAGGAAGCAGCAGCATGAGCCAGCCCTTAAAGAAGCTGATACTCCTCCTTCCCCATTTAATGCAGCTGAACACCTGAAATGATAAAAGTACAGCTCCATTTAGCAATGAAACTGCATAGCGACGAACTTTTTGCAATCGCTAAAACAAAATACACTCTCATGCTTTCCAGCTCATTATAATCTGTATGCCCACAATGGAGCAGGAAGCAGCAGCATGAGCCAGCCCTTAAAGAAGCTGATACTCCTCCTTCCCCATTTAATGCAGCTGAACACCTGAAATGATAAAAGTACAGCTCCATTTAGCAATGAAACTGCATAGCGACGAACTTTTTGCAATCGCAGAAGCGATCACATTGCGATGTTTCCTATGCGGTTTTTTTGCTTTGTGATGATCGGTGCCCTGTTTCGCTTACCAATCATCGCAAAATGACGTTTTTTAAACAGCTGATCGGCGGTTCCAAAATGGCCGCTGGGTAAAAAAAAATGGCCACCCGCTGTGTTTAGGGACGGATTCCTCGCATAAGAGGCAGTGAAAATGGCCGCCGTATGGAGGATTTTCACTTTAAGGTGAGTTTTAAGCCCATAGGAATGCATTAAATAGGTTTTAATGCATTTCTATGGGCTTTTAAAAATCGCATAGCGACGAAATCGCTTAGCAGCGATTTTTGCTGCACGGATTAGCGTCGCTATGCGAGGCACCACTGTAACTAAAACATAAACATTTTTCCTTGTTAAGTTCCAGATGTAATACACTTAAACTGTCATTACTGGGGAAAATACATTAATTACAATTAACATGTTCATAACTAGTTACTTCCCATTTGTGGTTGTGAGACTCCTGGGGAAAATATGTGTGAAGGGAAAGGAAAGAGTCCTTCTTCAGCATGGTCTCTGTGAATCACATGTGGGTTGAATCAGTGCCTGTGCTGGAATAAAATAAATAAATAAATAAATAAACTTCAGAACCTTCTAGAGCTTTTCTGAAAAAGATACAAAGTTTAGGTTGCCCCTAGTATGCATGCTCCATTCCCTCCCTGCCTCCAGTTCCTTTTTTCCCCGCCATTGTGCTAGGAACGTTTCGGACAGAGCTCTCTATTTTGATCGATTTGGCTTTATTTTGGACTGTATTTTTGACTATTCCTGCTTCTATTGCCCCTTAATCTTGGACTGCATCGACTATTCTCTTGCCTGATGGACTTTGGCTCTTGTTTGACCGGTTTTTCCCACGCTTTGTGGATTGGCTGATTGCCAGGCTGATTGCCTCAGCGGGAAGCGCCATTATCACCTCGGCGGGAGGCTCCATTATGCACTTATATTCTGATTACTGTGAGAATTCAGGCTCCTATAGCCTTCTGTGTACTGTTTTATGTCCCCCTCAGGCCCTTTTAGTAAATGTAAGGTGTGCACCAGGAAGATACCCTTTTATGATAAGCATAGTCTTTGTTTATTTTGCCTCGGAAATGCACACAATACGTCTACTTGCAGCCATTGTAAAGAATTTACTAAGGCTGCTTTGGAAGCGCGCCAGCAGAGACCTAAGCTCTATCTTTGGGAAAAGACTCTGTTTGCAACCCATCCCTCAGAGATGGAGACTTCCTCCAATCTTTCAGGGACCCCTTGTTCTGAGACAACTGTGTCTCTCCCCTCTACATCTACTTCCAAGTCATCTAAGCCTTCTAAGAAAGCCACCTCAGGTTCCTCCAAGAAGGCTCCTTCTACATCTAAGGGGCCTGTTCCCAAGGATGTTGCAAAGGCTAAAAAACAGGCGGGACAGCCTAA